TTTCAGTGAATTTTTGTTGTTTTTTTGTCCAGTGAAACTCTTTTTTTTTTTATTGTCGGTTACGAGCATACTCCCGGGAAGACTTGAAATTGCATTGATGTTTACCGCCTGATGAACTTCCTTCTGTATTATACTTCCATGCTAATACTAATTAATAGAATAACTAATTACTAATTAATTTTACGCATTTTTACAATGTTTTTATAAGGTTACTTTCTTGTGCATCTGCCTGTCTGTCCATCCGGTTAGAATCTTTGAAGCCTGGTTCCCGACCAGCTAGAGCTCTGAAACTTTCAAGATAGCTCAGAACCCGATGACAATTCAATTTAAAACCATTTCCAAGTTTCTTCAACTAATATTTATCAAAATTTCAACACAATTCAATTTTATATGGAGAAAAAAACAAACATGAGGTCAGCAGTAATAATTAAAGAAGTACGCCAAACTTTAGTTTAGCGTTAATAAAAAGAAATCATTAAGAAAAGTAATTAAAACAAACAGCGTGAAACTGACTTTAGTTTAACGTAAATAAAAGAAATTGATAAGAAAAGTAATTTAAAATAAACTACAATCACAAGAATAAATCTAAAAAATTCCCGTGAATTTCTCGAAAAAAAACGGGAATTGACCAACGAGATTCCCGGGAATTACCGTTCCCGGAATTCTCTTGAGGATCACTAGAACTTAAGCAGCGCTTTAACCATCTGAGCTATCCCAACACATTGTGTTCTGTCTGAACCTCTGGCGCTGTATTTACTCACCCGTAAGTTACTTTATGAATGTTTGTATTCTGTTTAAATCTCTGAGACTCACACTGATCCAGTGTGAGCTCAGTAAATAACTAGTCACTCCAACTATAAAACCTACGCTCACCTTAATCTCTAGTGTTTTGTTTTTCCATATGCATTTCTAAAATATCTTGTTTAATGTTTTAAAGTAATGCTTGCAGGAAAAAAATCCTTTTAACTACTTCAGGTCAGGTCAGGTTCAAGATCATCACGATCACCCTGCTACTGGTATAATGTCACCCCATACTACCTGCTCCATACCCTGCTGTCGTGTAGGGTGTGCTTTTTTAGGCAAAGGCTAGGAAAATCAAATTTTGATATAATAATCCCCTGCCTTGGGGCTCTTGGTTCAGTAAAGGCTAATTGTGGGCAGGTGTTTACATCCACCTAATGTCTTGTAGAAGGCCCTTAGGCAAAGACAAATGGGTAAGCAGATTACTTCTGTTGACCAGCCTCAAAACCCTTCTTTATCTATTAGGCTGGCATAGATGTAAACCTGTGTTACATTGTTTCTTGCCTAGGATGATGAATGCTGGACCTTGACTCTACTCAAAGATTTTTGCTTGTATCTCCTTGATAGTGGCTATACAACTTTTCCTGTTAACTTGTAATGAGAGTACAGCTCTAAAACTCCGTTTATTGGCTCTGAGGGATTTGGTAAGGTTTCTCGAACTCTGTGGTTGCTTTCAAAAAGACGGATTCCATCAACAGCTGCAATGTATCAGAGAATCAACAATGGCATTTTGCGCATGGATTTTATCCCTGTTATTCCTTTTGGTGAGCATTGTCGAGGCCACATATGAAGCCAGTCGCATAGCTCATTGCTTAGGAGGCTGTGCTCTATATGAATCAAGTTCTCTTAAAACTTAAATCATGCCAAAAGTAACTTGAAGTATTAAACATAAAACCCATTCCCGCCACCTAACTGTTTTAATATATCTTTTACTTATATTTGTGGTCTGTGAAGCAACCTTCCATCAGTTGAATCTTACTTTTGCAAAATTCACCAGACTTGCTTGTTCTTAGTAAGACTAATTTAAATTCTGCAGTCACATGCTTAGCTTAAGGTTATACATATGCATCAATTCACCTATTTGTTGCGAAATCAAGTTTGAATCTTTTGATCATTCTTTTATGTGCTTTCACTTAGCACCTCATCGCTCTATCACTTTTCTCTTCGATCTTTATCATTCTACTTCTTCCCAAGACTGCAAACTCTATAGATGTAATTTCTGATCAAATTGACCAAACTCATTCTCTTAATGTCTCTACCAATATATGCCTCTGCCAATATTGTTATTATTGGTGCCACTGGCCCTGCTGGCACTAAAGCCTATAACTTCTGCATTTTTCAATCTCCTACTCAGATAAACTTTGTGGCTTGTTGTCCTGGCAACTCTAATCACTTACCTTCACTCCTTGATTTGTGTCTTGTCTCTGACCCTAGCTTGTGTTAAGTTTCTCCTTGTTCTCCTTTGATCATTGCATGGTTTGTGGTTCCAACCATGCAATGATCTTTATAAATCTTTCTTCTCGTATTTCTTCTTCAGATTCACCCTATCGTCTACTATAAAGCTGACTGGGATTCTTTTAGTGAGTTTCTTTGTGATGTCCTTGTCCTTGGGCTGGTGTCTTTTCTCCCTTAGCTTATAAATGCGCCTCCTATGTAACCTCCTGGATTCAGGAAGGAATGGATGCTTTTATTCCTTTTCTTTGGTTCCGAGTCAAACCGCTATTCTACTCCATAGGTTTTACCTTCTTGTGCAGCTGCTATATCTAATTGTAATCATTTTTTTCATCTTTTTCAAAAGAATAATTCTCTTGAGAACAAACGGCTATTTATTATTGCAAGAAATCAATGTAAAAAGGTGCTGTCAGATGCTAAACTCCATTATTTCCAGTTCAATAAAGCTTGTTTCTTATCTTAGAGGTTAGGTTTCAGATGATTATCATCTGATCAGTCTTCTTTCTGTTATTAGCAAGGTCTTTAAGTCTTTGATCAACAAATTTCTCACATCTTATCTTGAGTCAAATAACTGACTGTCAGAAAATCAATAGAGCTTTGGGCCCTTTTACTCTACAGCTTACTTGCTAACTGCTGTGACTTGAAATTTATTTTAAGTCGCAGCATATCCTCGAAGGCCAACACTCTTTTTCATTTCCAGTAACTTCTGGGATACCTCAAGGTTCTATCCTTTGTCCTGTTTTGTTTCTTATCTACATTAATGATCTTCCTGACAACCTTACAACTAAAGTAGCTCTTTTTGCTGATGACTCAACTTTATACTTCTGTCTTGATAAAATGTCTTTTTTTTTCTTATGAAAAAAAAGACATTTTGTCTAGACAGAAGAATAAAGCTTATGAGTTTTGATTCCAATAAAACTCAGTTATTTACTGCAAGCAACTATTGCAATACTGTTGACATTCCTATATTAATGAATGACAACCCTCTCACTGAGTCCTCTTCTTTATGTCTTCTTAGATTATTGTTCACTACTGATCTTTCATTGTTCTTATTTATACAATCAATTGCTAAATTAGCATCTGCTAAAGTTGCTTCTTTTTATCATACTTTACTACTGATTCCATTCTCTACCCCTACAAATCTCTTTTTCGCCCCTGTATAGAATACTGTTGTCATTTTTGAGCTGGTTCTTCTAATGATGCTCTTTCTCTTCTAGACAAGGTCCACAAATGCATTGTAATTGTAGTTGGCCCTGCTCTATCTGCTAATCTTGAGTCTCTCCTCCATTGTCATAAATTTGCATCTCTTTTTTCTACAAATACAATCATGGTTGCTACCCAAAGGAGCTATCATCTGTAGTGTCATCAGCTAAAACTCATTCTTGCTTGACTCGTCATGTAGCAAAGTCACATTTTTTTACTGTATCTGTCCTTCAAACTTTAAAAACTATTATTCTTTTATTTTTTTCCTCTTACTTCAAGCCTTTTGAACTTTCTCCCATCGTCATAAGTTCTTGACTCATACAACTTACAACTTTTCAAGTCTTTTGTCAACCTCGCTCTATAACTCTATTCATTTTTTTTTAGTAACTCCCAACTTAATAGTGGTTAAACTTAATAGTGGTTGCTTGCAGTCTTGTTGGGAGTGAATCAGAATTAAAGTATATATATATATATATATATATATATATATATATATATATATATATATATATATATATATATATATATATATATATATATATATATATATATATATATATATATATATATATATATATTATATATAAATTCGTTAATTTTCAAACATTTATTTTTGTATATATTAAGTTAGTTATGAAGAACTAATACGAAGATAAAAATTTAAATAAAGAAAAAATAACTTTTTTTACAGTCTTAAAAAATTGGCTGTCAATTCTATGTGCTAACTGGTCAAATTGACCACTCGTCTTCAATTTTTAGTTTTCCATGCTATATATATATATATATATATATATATATATATATATATATATATATATATATATATATATATATATATATATATATATATATATATATATATATATATATATATATATACATATATATATATATATATATATATATATATATATATATATATATATATATATATATATATATATATATATATACATATATATATATATATATATATATATATATATATATATATATATATATATATATATATATATATATATATATATATATATATATATATACATATATATATATATATATATATATATATATATATATATATATATATATATATATATATATATATATATATATATATATATATATATATATATATATATATATATATATATATATATATAAACACACACACCACACACACATATACATACGCAGTAGGGTACATCAAACATCCCCTACTTTTAAAAGTAAATCTGTTCCTATTCTTAAAAAGAAGGAAAAATCATAGTATAAATAATATAGTTCAGTATAAAATTTGTTCTTTTTTATATATAATGTAATATAATTTTATTGTATTTATAATTTTTTAAAATAGTAAGAGAATTTAAGTGAAAAAATTTGGAGTAGGAGCCACTAGTTTTAAAAACTTGGAGTATAAGCTGTACTTTTTTTTTCTCCAGCTACCCACCCCTGAATTTATTTGTGCAGTATTTATAATATTATATATTAGTTTGTTTCATAAAGCAAACAAGGTATTGCTATTTTTTTATTTATTTGTTTAGCTTGCCTTTTCTTTGTCCAATGTTGGAACCAGAGCCCACTGCTGATCGTATTGTGGCTGGAGTTCTCAATGATGAGACACATATTTTTATTCCACGGAGACTGTTTCTTTTGGTTGCTTTAAAGCAGTAAGTTAATCAAATGTTTTTTGTTTTTTTATTGGTTTGATTATACTATAGCTATTCTAATTATTTTAATAATCCTAATGTTTTATTATTTTTATTTAATTTTCCTATTTTTTGCTGTATTTACCTCCCCTAAGCTTAGGCTCCAGTCCTATGTTTTAGTTGTCACTTATACCTATCTGTCTAACCGAAGCTGCTGCACTATGAAACAGGTTGGATAGAATCTTCAAAATAAATAATAAAATAACAAAAAAATTTTTATCAAAATTTTAAAATCAATACTAGTACCATTTAAAAAAAGAATAAGTCTGGTTTTTTCCAGGAATCACTAAGAGTAACAGAATTTAATATAAATTGTATTTAATAATATTTTCATATATTCTGCTTTAAATAAAATAAATATATATAAAAGTATCTTTTTTTTTTTTTGCAATAACTTTTTTATTGCTTCATTTCTCTACATATTTCATTGAGTTTCTCCATCAATGGAGGAAGGAGATTGAAGAGAGAGCATATGGCAGCTAAATATTTAAAAATTACAACTTTTTTTTATCAAATAAGTTAATTAAATTAAATCAATTATTCATTTAAATTATAAATACTAATTTTTAGCGTTCTGTAACAATTTATAAAACTATTTTTATCAAATTTGAGAATGAATCAACAGTACTTGGCTTCTTCTTGATTAAAAGATTATGAGACAAAGAAAAAAAGCTTAAAACATTTCTGACAAGTTTTGAGTGAATACCTTTTTTGTTATGATTGACCAACTTGTGATACAATCAACTCTAAGAAGTGATCATTACAATAACATAATTAAATTATTTGGATTTATGTCAAAGCTGTTAAATATTAGCATAATTGAAATGAAAGTAAGTGCGAAAAGGTGCAAGAAAGTGACAATACATTGTATCTGTATGTTTTGAATTAGATTGTCAATACTTATATTATTGACCTGTTTTTGAATATTTATATTTTCTCACCATAGCAAACTGAAAAGTTGAGAAATCGTTCTCTCCTCTTAAAATAGTAACAAAGATACACTGATCAATAACTGATCACAGAGTTTTATATTATTAACTATTGAATCGAAATTATTAGAAACAATGACATTCACCAATGTTTGCTGAAAAGAAAAGCAGAAAGAAATCTTAAAAATTATTTCAATAAAATAGTTTAAATAAGTAATAATTCAAAATTTGTTTTTATTTATGATTTTTATTTATGCTTCAAATTATTAAAATTTCTGTAAAGTAAAATGATATAATTGACATTATTTATTTAGACTTATGCTATTTATTTTGACTTAAAAAACAAAACTACATAAAGTACTTAAAACAGAAAAAGTTTTTTTTTTTAATTTTACGCTGCCTAATTTTAAAACACCTCTGCAAGAACAATTATAAGCTATTATTGAAACTATAACCCTTGTTTCTACAAACTTACACATTTGTGTTGAAGAATTTGTATTGGAGAAACAAAGAGAATTTTGAAAAGGACATTGATCACCAAATAAATAGTATGAATAACAGTTAAAAGAATCATTATAAATGATAATAACTGTTATAAAAGAAATAAGGCATATTACCATATATTTGGTGTAGAAAAAAATTTATTTAAACATTACTTAGTTTTCTTACTTTGATTTATATGCAGTTTAGAACAAAAAAGTGAGGCAAAAATGTCGCTTCCACTTATATGCGGGGTCAACTTATATGTGAGCATATACAGTAATTTTTATGCTCACATATAAGTGGCCTGATGATGGTGTGAGCTATCAGATTGAAATGATGATAATGGTGTGAGCTCGAAATACAACTAATAAATAGTATGTTGCTGTTATTTATGTTTTATACAAAATACTAATTTATGCACAACAAGAAATCTTGCTGAAACAATCAATAAAAAGTTACAAATTATCAAGTCATTACAACTTGAATTCATGTAAGTTTAAGATTAAATGTAAGTTAAGTTTAAATAATTAAATGTTTTTTTTTATAATAATATTTGTCCTTATGCTATTTTTTAACAAAATGGATTAAAATGTTAGCTATAAATAGGTTCATTGAACATTGGCTTATTTCATTGAGTTTTTTAAACTTATGTTTACAATAAGATTCTTAGTAACTTTGCAAGCATGGCCTAATTAAATACACAGTCACAGACAATTGTTTTCTATTGCTAAAAAAAACTCATAAATAAATATAAAAGTTTAGTGAAAAGCATAAAGATTCATCTAATTGGGTACAATCTTCTAAAAGGTACATATGCAGCTATGATGGGGAGGGGGGGGGAAGGGAGAGAGAGTTACCCAAAAATATACAAATGCATACAGTAGGTTTAAAACAGTGATCATAAAACTTTTTTTTTTTAACAAAAGCATTAAATTTCAAGAATTTAAAATTGATAATATGTTTTGTAACAGATATGTCGAATTATCTAAAAGTTTTTTTTATTTTTAATGTTATGAAAAATTTATGCATTGGCGAAAGGGGGAGTTGGTTTTGTAATCAATGTGTACGTACATAGAGGGGGGGGGGGGGAAACATGTAAAATGTAAACATGTGCGTATAATTGGACAGCAAAACAACATCTTATATTTACTGAATCAGTTTTGAATGCAATAATTAAAATGTTTTGAGATTGTTAGTGTTGTTATATATTTTGCACTGGATTTTTTAAAATTTGGTTTAAACGGAATAGAAGGCCATGTATAGGTTACGCCAGAGGTTACATTTTTTTAAGCTATATAAATATATTTATATGGTTAAAAAAAGGCAACCAGGATAAAAAGCTTGTGATGCATTGCAATGAAAAAATTTGACAGTTATAGATTTAAATAAACAAATAAAACGTTTTTATTGAACGAATTGTAGTATGTCTACTATAAAACGTTGTTTACCTCATTCATGTTTGTTTGGAAAACAACCACCCTAAAAGCCTTGTGGAGGTTACTTTTTTTTTTACGACTCCACACCCTAAATCGTTACTTTTTTTTTTACGACTCCACACCCTAAAAGGTGTGGAGTCGTAAAAAAAAAGTAACGATTCCGACTCCAGTTGTTGAAATTTTTTGAGTACAACTCTAACTTCAAAGCAAAATTTTTGAAAAATAAGCGATAAGTTAAAAAAATTTTTTTTGACAAATTTATGAAATGTTCTTTGAGGTTTAGTATGAACATAAAGTTAATTGAATGTTTTATACATGCATGTGCAATACTGAGAAGTTTTACTATTGGAGTTGCAGTTATGATTTTGTTTAGCGACTCCGACTCCGTTAAAAATGGCGCAACTCCGACTCGTAAACAAGCTGTCACAAAAGCATAAAAATTACTGTAGAATGAGTTCAGATGTGATAAAGAAATCAAGTAAAAAACAAAAATTAAAAAACAAAAAGCTGTTTTAGTTCACTAGTCTCCTGTGTCAAATAAAGATAAGAATTTTTTTGAATGCTGATACTAAGATACAATTTTGTAACTTTTTTATATTGGAGGTTTTTACCATTATGTTATAAAGTTAAATGTTTTTTGTAGAGACAAAGATGGCATATTTTTGTTGTTAGATTGTAGAGTTTAAAAGTTATAATTTTCCATTTTATAATAGGCTTTATGTTTTGGTCTTTTAAGCTCCATATTTCCTTAGAAAGTTCATTTGTATACTTAACTGTTACAAATGATTTGAGATGGTTTGTGTTGAGATGGTTTGTGTTGAGATGGTTTGTGTTGAGATGGTTTGTGTATCTTAATTTAAATGGTATATGACTAGTGCCAAAATATACTTTTTATTATGTTCATGATTACTGGAACTTACGGTTGCTTGGTTACTGGAACTTACGGTTGCTTGGTAGTCGATATGGTTGGACAAACACTAGTTAGTTAAAGGGAAGAAAAAAAGTTTTATCTATACAGTTACATTCCTTAGTTTTTAATTGTGCAAAATTTTGAAATTATGTGAGTTTATGATAAAAAGTCAATTAGGGCTAGAAAACGGTTTCCTATTTTTGTTTTGACATTTAAGCTGAATGGAGAGTTGTACTAAATGATATTAAGTTTATGTTTTTTTTTTTTGTTGATTTTGATCTAGGGTTAATTGTGGTTAGAAGGTAAGCTTTCTTTTGTATCCCAATTTTTTAAAAGTTTTTTCATATGGTGGAGTAGCCTTTTTAAGACAGTTTCACTAATTGACATGGAAGATAATCTTTGTTCAATATTACAAAGGATTGCTTTTATTATGCTTGGAGGGTGGTTAGAATAAGAGTAGATGTACCTTAATTGGTTATCAGGTTTACAATATAGTTGCAATGTGTTATTTAGATTTAACGTAACATTGAGGTAGTTTAAATTTTTTATATTAGATTGAATGGTGGTTTGAAGATCATTTCTTTTAAAAATAGGTTATATGCTTTTTGATTTTATCCATTTGCTGGTCATTATCGTTTAAATCCCTTATCTTAAATAACGACAAAGCATAGATTAAAAGAAAGAGGCGTATTGTTATATATATATATATATATATATATATATATATATATATATATATATATATATATATATATATATATATATATATATATATATATATATATAAATTTATAAATGAAGAAAATACAACTTTATGGTACTAATAGTTTTTGGCCTAAAGACAATCATCAGCCACCCAGCAAACATGTCCTATTGGGGCCCATATGGGTTTGCCCAAGTAGGCCCTGTATGGGCTTTATATATGGGCCCAAAATGGGCCCCATGTGGGCTAGCCAATGAATACAAATTTGTATTCAAGGGCTAGCCCACTTGAGGCCCATTTAGGGCCCATATATGAAGTTAAAAAACCGTTAAATTCCGTCTTATTTTCTAAATTTAAATGCCACCCCATCGTGCACGCGATGGTATGAGGTACTCCACTAGGCAATTAGCTGGAGGAGTGTAAATCACAATACCGAACTTACTTTATTAAAGCCCCTTTACAATTCATAAATGTAATTATGTCTCAAAGCTTTTCTCAAA